TAATGGATTAGGATCCTAATCGAATTCTTTTTGTAGGAATCTGAATGATTAATCAATCGTGTCCGTTTATAGTACATTTTTAGGTAAGAAATTCTTTTAAATTTTTTATTTAAAATTAAATGTAAACAATACTTAATGAAAACTGACCGCACAATGTTCGATGAACGAACACCATTGATTGATCAACCAGATTCCCACAAAGAGAATTCGAAGAGGATCCTCGTTTGACAGTAATAAACGCATGAAATATGGAGCCGTTTAAGCGCTATATTTGTCCAGGAAAGGATTGTTAGCAGCTTGCCAAACTGGGCTTTTGAAATCCAGTTTTATCATAAAACCAATTGCAAGATAGATAGGAGTCCAACTTCATATAAGCCCTTGTATGGTTTATTCTTTCATCGATGTTGGGCTCTTTTTAGTTTCACATTTTCACACATCCTCACATGTAGCAAATTTTCAAGCTAAATACGTAGACAACACAATTTGGATAACGTGGAGCACATGTAGCCTTTTGGGCTTCAGACATAAGAAACTTGAGGATTCACTATAAACTAATTAACAATATAAAAAATAACTTAACCTTTTATAAGCACTTGTAAAATTTTTTTCTTTCATAAATGTAAAACCCTTTTACTTTTATATTTTCAAAAAAAATTTAATAATAATAATCCACAACGCGCAGGGGTGGGCGTTGGAATTTTGGGAATAGCAGACCGGAACGCGAAAGTTTTTTTAAGGGGAGAACAAGGAAAGTGGGGCACAGAGGCCCAAGAGAAGACAAGAGAGGCTACGAAGAGGCAAACAACAGACAGGAGAAAGCAAGGAAGGCAGTGAAAGGAGTTTGTTGTCGAATTTGCAAACCCATACACATGACAAAAGCAAACGTCCATTCATTTCATGTTGGCACGATTCCACCGATGAATGAAAAGATTTAACACAAACAAACAGTTACGCTGTGATGCATGCAAAGGAATTGGATTTCATTCGGATCCATTTTGTGGAGTTCGTATGAATCATTACATTTTAGTCATTCATCGTATATAATGAGGTTAGAAATTATTTGATTTTTTTTTATTTAAAATTAAGCACAAATAATGTTTGACGAAAATTTATTGCACGATATACGATGAACGACTAGGATGTAAGGATCCCTAGAATCCCCACAAATTGGATCCGGAGAGAATCAATTTCGAGTATTTATCAAATATAACCAAAAATTAACTTTTAATTTCAAAAATGTCATTTTTTATAAAATAAAAAAAATCAAATATTTTCAAAATTTCACTTAAATAGACACAAATGTCCTCAAATTTAACAATTAAATAAATTAAAAGCTTTTTAGCTACTGTCGCCCCAAGCTCCGGTCCAACTTCACCTTCACTTCTACACTCCACCACCACAACCCTTTCCACTTCGACCCCATCATCACCAACATTGAGCGCCGCCACGGTTACTGTAAGTGGGAGCAGAAGAATTTCAATCATGCCTTCAACGCCTTTTTTCTTACTAATATCATTTTTAGTTTCAAATATAAAAATAGTTTTTAAAGTTAATCCACATGTCATTATATGATTGTATTTGTGAGACTCACGTGGCTCCACATCATCACACTAATAGAGCAATTGACAGATTTTTCACAAAAAAACTAAAATGATCACGATGGACAAATTCAAAGAAAGACTAAAATGATTCACGATAGACAAATTCAAGAACACTACTATTGATTAGCATTAATTGTTAAGAACCAAATTAAGGAGTTATATCAATGTCACGAATCATTTTGGCTAAAAAAAAACCTTTAATTTATTTGATTGTTAAATTTGAGGGTATTTGTGTTTATTTAGGTGAAATTTTAGATATATTTTAAAGATTTTATAAAAAGTGACATTTTTGAAATTAAGGGTTAATTTTTGGCTATATTTGATAAATACTCATCATTTTCATCATGCAACTACCTATTTTGGATTGGAATTTAACTTAGCTTCTCACCCGATAAATGAGGAGGAGTTTTTTTTTTTAATACAGAGTAACATTTTCTTCTCTTTAAATTCTCTTCCCCTACTTCTCATCCTCTCAAATTTTCTTTTTTGTCTTTCTATTTCTATAAAGAAGTCAACACAAGATGTTAACATGACTTAAACATAATCGTTCAAATAAGAAGAGACTGGAGGGGAGAGAGATTTAGAAGGAAGAGAATCCTACTCCCTTTAATATGTCTTGTTGTTGGTTTATGGAACCTCTTGTTTATGATCGAAACCGTTCATATTGTAAATCACTTTAGAAGATCATCTTTACAAAAAATTAATAAAAAATGAGATGAGATCGTTTAGTCATGAACTAGATAAGAATAAATAGTTCGGTACAATAAAAGCATTACAAACTGTCTATTTATTTGCTACAGTTGATTGACTAAACAATCTTATTTTATGATTTTTTTTCCATAGATTATCTTTACAAATTAATTTATAATTGAACGATTCTAATCACAAGCACGAAACTATCTAGATCAATAACAAAATATCTTGAGAGGAACTCCCTCCTCAATCTTAAGAAGCCAAAATTTCACCTTTTGAAATATTTAATTGTTCATCTATTTTATTTCATAGTTATGCTAAGTGACAATCGTTTATGCACCCGTTTGTGAGTCTTATCATTTGTTGATCCAATATATGGTCCACTTACCTCATTGGTGGACAGACCCAAATGCTCGTAGACAACGAGTTTAGCTCTCTCCTTTTTCCTAAGTGCCTTAAGGTCATGTTTGATATTTCATTTGAAAAGCCAAAATTGCTTTCAATAGCTAAGAAACGCTTTTGATTGCGTTTAGAATAAACAAACTTAGAATGCTTTTGACTGATACAAGTACTTTATGAAAAAGCACCTTTCAATTTTAACAAACTTTATTGTGCTTCTAATAATAATATTTCTAATAAAAGCGCTTATTAGGATATAAATCTTCTAAAATGTAATACCAATTATGCCCAAACCCTTTTAACATATTAATTGAGTCCTTGCAAGTGACTCTCTACCACAGTGGTGGAGAGGAGTGTTGTCATTTCATCACACATGAGTTAGAATCATGTCGACTTCCTAATCTAACATTTAACCTAACAAATCTATCGTTTGACAAAAAAAAAATATTGATTCCTTACTTGCATCCAACCCTAATAATCACCTACACAAAAGATTTTAAAGTAACGCGGAAAATGAAATGCTCCAGATATCTTAACCGTTACAATGGTTGGATCTTAATTTTTGTATTTTTAAACAATGATCTAACGGGTAAAATATCATAGTGTGCACCGTAGAATATCCTCACCTACACCAGAAAGATTTACATAAAATGAGTTGTCATTATGTAGTGGCTCCTATCTTGTAATACATTACTGTGTAAATTTTTCTTCACACAACAAGATATTATTAAATAAAAAAGGGCACGTAATGATAAACTCGTTTTATACGAATTGTTCTCCATACTCCATCTACACGCCCTACATTAACATTTAACATCACTTTTTTGTCTTCTCCGAGTGTACCCGAAAACTTTCATCAACCCACCTGACCTGACCTATTCAAATTGGTCCAATTGGCCACTGCCCCTCACAGAAGTGGTCCATTTGGACTCCATTTATATTCTTATCTTATGCCTTTCAATTCACTTTTTCTTAAAGTTATCAATTCGGCAGGAGTCATGTTTGAGAAACCACTACTTGGATTTCAAGTATCAGTCATTGTATTATGTGATTTATAAAAACTAGTCTAAAAAGATGATTTTTTTTTATTTAACAATTTCAAAATAATTGTCATTAACCATCCTTAATGTTGCATTTAAACACTAAAATAATATTTGTATTTAAACACCAGCAAATCATAACCAGGCCATGCCACAAGAATTGTTTACTCAACAACCATATGTGTCAATCTCATTACTATTACTTTAATTGATCATGTTTTAATTAGTCCACCATGATTAGAAAAATACCCTTCAAAATCCTTATCTGGTTCACTGATTCAGATAGCCAACCATAAAACTTCTCTGTATTTGCCTTAATTAATCACCCCCAAAACTCAGGCTAATAAATAAATATTGAATAATGTTAGGAAGACCAAAATTTTAAATCAAATGATGTGTTACTAATAGAAAATAAACACGTTAATTAACACTTAAGTAATAAGTCAATCATCAACGTTCACATCATTTGGTTTACAAAATTTGATTTATAATTTTGGTCTCCCTATCATTATCAAATATTTATTTATTAGATAAAGACGAATTTAAATCACATTATTGCTACTTAGCCCACTCCTCCCACCCTTAATGTAGATAATATCGTTTGTTAAAAAAAAAATTAGCAAGAGGTTCTCTCTTAAGACCAATGCATAATTTTAGTAAGGTAATGTTATTCACATGCCCATTTTTAATTATCACACATATCATTTAATTTTTAGTCGTCAGATCAAATAAATTTAAAAAGGTCAATAACAAAAAATTAATAAAAATGTGTGAAATGTGAAAGTAAGTATTTTAATAACATTTTCCTTCTAATAACGTCACCGGTCAATTGAATATTTTCCACGTGTTAAAAATTATCCTAACTATCTAATATATTTGCGCATATGATGTCACTAGTTACATGAAAGTTTCCTTTCCATAACAACCGTAAGGCCTTCAATTACTCCACCAAATTCTACACCAATAGAAGCAGCCCACATCACCAACTTCCAAACTTGCGACTACAAAATGACCCTTATGCCCATATCACAACACGTGGCAAAACCCAATTCGTGAAAATACCGCGAGTGCAGTAAATTCCCGAATAAGCACCCGCAGAGATTCCAAAAGCGAAAAGGTGGGAAAAGCGGCGAAAGCGTTAATAAAAGCAGTGAGCAATGACATGGAGAAGCAGAAGAGCGCTTCGTGACTCGTAGAGGCAAAAACCCAATTGCAAAACCTCCGATTGGGGATTCGCTTTTCCCGGGAATCGCATTCCAGCGAAACCCAATTGGGCAATTTGGGTTCCCATTCCTCTATTAAAACCCTACTCGCATCTGATTCTGTCGGCCGTCGTTTTTGTTTCAATCATCTCAGCCATGGTGGCCGATAGCAAGTCCAAATCCGACATTTCTTTCGCCGGAACTTTTGCAAGCAGCGCCTTCTCCGCCTGTTTTGCTGAGGTAATCAATCAAATGAACTCTGATCAGTGATCACGTTATTTTCTATGCGAAATTGAATCGATACGGATTCCCGTGGACTGTTTTTTTTATATCAATAGTCAAATGAGAGATGAAACTCATGTCCTAAATTGTGATGAATTTTATATTGGCGTATCGGATATGTTGAGTTCATGATTCTGCTATCTGGGTTTTTGGTTGTTCCCAGAAATTGCGCTTAAAATTTTGAAAAAATATGTAGCTGTTTTGGTTTTGCTGTATAATGTGTTGATAATTTACATTTTTAGGTTAGTTTTTCGTGTAATTAGGTGACCCGGTGCCGCACTTGAATCTTAATTAGTTTGTTGTGATCAGACCTTCCTGTTTATACACACAATTGAGTATGAGGAGACAATTGATTATGATGTCTTCCAACTGTTTGTTTCTGTTAAGTTTGACGTTCTTTTGATTAACTTGGTGCAGATTTGTACTATTCCGTTGGACACGGCTAAAGTCAGGCTTCAACTCCAGAAGAAAGCTGTTGCAGGTGATGGAGTGGCCTTACCTAAATACAGGGGTATGCTGGGCACAGTTGCTACCATAGCCAGGGAAGAAGGTCTGACGGCACTCTGGAAAGGAATTATACCTGGATTGCATCGTCAATGCCTATATGGAGGTTTAAGAATTGGGTTGTATGATCCTGTACGTCCCGATTCTTATTTTTCAGAAAACGCAAACTTATTGTGAAATTTTCTTTTTAGTGTATGTGATATCTGTGCTTTCTGATGTCTAATACATATAAATTGTATGCTTTACAGATCAAGTCCTTCTATTGCGGAGGCAGTGACTTTGTTGGTGATGTTCCTTTAACAAAGAAAATACTTGCTGCCTTAACAACTGGTAAGCATGGTTGTGGTTGCTTTTCGATTTACCTTTTGTTTCTGCTGGTTTTGTGGAATAAAAGTAGTCTTGTGCGCTGTATCTGCATTACTGTCTGTAGTATCCTAGTGGTGTCATATTATAGTTTGGCTGGAAGTCCATAGTTGGTTTAATCTTTTTTCTTTCTAAGATGGAAAGATAGGCAGTAAGACCTGTATGTTGGCTTTTTTGATATGTAAGTGGGTCCTTGTTAATTTTGGATTTACATTTGACTTTTCAAACTTGCTTTTTTGATAAAAAAAATAGGTGCTCTAGCAATCACAGTGGCAAATCCAACTGATCTTGTGAAAGTTAGACTTCAAGCTGAAGGAAAATTACCACCTGGTGCACCAAGGCGTTATTCGGGATCACTGAATGCGTATTCCACCATTGTGAGACAGGTTGAACAACTATCCTGGAAATTTAAGATAAAAAGGAGGGGATGGCATTCATATATATATAATTTTTTCTTTCTGACTTTTTAAACTTGGGTCACATCTGCAAAATTAGGAGGGAGTTGGGGCACTCTGGACTGGGATCGGACCCAACATTGCACGTAATTCTATTATTAATGCTGCCGAACTAGCCAGTTATGATCAAGTGAAGGAGGTAAGATCACTAACAGTCTTATTTTGTTCTTTTGGAGCAGCACTCTTTACACTTATCTTAATGTGTATACATTTCAATGCAGACACTTCTAAAACTTCCAGGGTTCTCAGATAATGTTGTCACTCACCTTCTTTCTGGTCTGGGGGCTGGTTTCTTTGCTGTCTGTATTGGCTCACCAGTTGATGTGGTAATTTATCTACATTCAAATGTGAAATCTATCTGATTGGTCTCTAGTTAAGTATATCTGGTATCTAGTGCATACTATGTTTGCTTACATGTTCTGGCAGCAAGTGAATTGATGACTTATTAACTCAGGATAAGAGCATGTGGCACATATGTATTAGCCGGAAGGCATCCATCATATTTATTAGTTCTTATGGAGAATGCAAACAGTTAGTTCTTACCATTTCTTTTCATGTTCTCATCCTGTACTTTTATATGATATGAAACTCTTTTTCAAGCTCTGATCAATTAAAGATGTAAATTAGTCTTGTATCTGTTATGCAAGCACATTTATTATTGACTTGTTGATTTATGTCCTTTTTTAGCCACGTATGGACTCAATAAGTGGTCGCTCTTTTCTTTTTGTCTAAATGGTTTACCTATTTTCATGTACTGATTGAGCTGCATTTTTATTCTCATTGCATCATACAACCTCATATTTAATTTATTTTTTATTGTTCATCTTTTCTCAGGTTAAGTCAAGAATGATGGGAGATTCTGCTTACAAAAACACGATGGATTGCTTCCTCAAAACTCTGAAGAATGATGTACAAATTAATTTCTTCCAATACCTTCTAGCCTATTCTTAATTTACACTTTAAAATTGCTTTAATAAGTTAAGAAGTTATGCAAATCAAGTATAAGTGTATTTGCATTCAGAGGTAATCCAAATTAGCTTGTGGGTGAGAATCGTGAGATGTAGAATCTAAAGCTAGTCAGAAATCTAGTAACCGATTGAAACAAATTATGCAGTTGGTTTCTGTAGTTGCGATGTGAAGTATCTAAAGGCATTTAAGCATTAGTGTATTTGCATTGTGTAATCTACGTGCAGACTGAATAGGGTGCTAACTGCTACAACCCAACACTAACTTCCAACTTTAGTTAATTGAAGAGACTCATCAAAAGATACTGGTTATTAACCGCGTTCAATGTTTTACAGGGACCCTTGGCCTTTTACAAGGGCTTCATCCCAAATTTTGGACGGCTAGGATCGTGGAATGTCATCATGTTTCTAACCCTTGAGCAGGTACATTTTGCAACTCCTCCACTTTCCTGTTCTTCACCATTTCGTGTTTTTGGTCTTTGCATGCACTTGCCACTCCCGTGTCAATAGCTGTGGGGGCTTCAGCATAGATAACGTAGCTATGTATTTGGAAAACAGTCCTGTAGCCAGTTAATCTTTAGATTTCTTGATTGTCCTTCAGTAACTATCCTGAATTAGTTTCTCATCTTTTAATTCTCGTGGCAGGTTAAGAAGGTTGTGAGAAATATAGAGTCATCGTGAGCTTAACGAGGATCGAGGTCGCGAGGATCAAGGACAATGTGGGGTTTTTTAGGGGTTGTAGCATCTGCAGCAACTGATAGTTGTTTTAGAGAATAATAAGGCCTAGATTAAACATTTTTAGTGGCATTTTTTTTGCTAACTGAGGAGAAGGTTCCTCTTCCTCCCAAGGAAAACATGCATTCGAAACTATGAAGTTTTACAAATAATGATAATTTGTTTTCTGGACCATCTTATCTCTCTTGTCGTACTCATGACTTTTGGTTTTAATATACTTAATGTTATTTTTCAATTCCTCCAAAATAACAGATTGAATTTCTTATTCCGTTTGGGAACCATTTCTGTTTTGATTCTCCATATTTTGTAAACACAAGAATACTTTGTGTTCGAATCCGTCTCCTTGTTTTGATTCTTATTAAACACAAGAATACTTTGTGTTCAAATCTGATTCCTTGTTTTGATTCTAATTATCGATTACCATATGTGTGCTTCTGTTTAAAATCGGAATCAAACAAGGTTTAATCATGAGTACGTCTCTCTCATCACTTGATTGGAAAGACATAGCTACTCCAGTCCCACGTTTTATTTAATTTTTAAATTCTCTCATGATTCAACAATGCATTCACGATATCATAACAATAGTTTGTTGTTACGTTAAAAATTTTGTAGTTCAGATAAGAGTATTTACTTTTGCATCTGAGATCTCAAATTCAGTCAAGCTAACCACGTGAGACGTCCTCCAACAACGAACTTTGTTTTTTTTGTTCTTTCCAAATAGTCCACAAGCCCACACCGGCCCTCAAGTCGGTCAGCCCATTAACTGTTACCAACCCAAAACCCAGTAAACCAGTTCCCTTCTTCTTCGTGTTCCAAATCTCGGCCGAAATCCACGCGCCATTTAACAAAATTTCAGAATTCCTTCTTCTTCTTCCGCCAATTTTCTCCCAATTTAGCTCAGGTACTCCTTAATTTCCCTTTTCCTTAATTTTCCACACATCTTGACATCTAATCAATTTCTATCGGATTTTATTAGGGCTTGCGGCGGTAACTAAATATCATTTACCCTTTTCAGACTTGGCTGCTCGATGGTTGCGATCGCCGACGACGTCGTAATGGACGACTTGCCGGTTAGTGTATTTGCTCCCCACGATCAGTCCAAAGAAATTTGGTTCAGATTTGTGTATTAATTGGGCACATTTGGATTGCAATGCCAACTTCGTTAGCTATGACCCCAAATAGTTGCATTCGGTTGGATTCCATGGAACCAAACAGAGATTTTATGCTGTAAATTACAAGTTTTAGGTTCACCTGCTTAGTTTATTTCCTGCTTGATACAGAGTCTGAAGAGAACATGTGAACATTCAACATGTTGGTGTTATTATTTTTGTGGCACCTGAACCTTTTAGGTTAGTTTATCGGAGTCGAGAATTTTTTCGGGTTAACCTTCGTTTTTTTGGGTGACAGTCTGCCTGTGTGGTTTCTGTGTTTGGTTCTTGGAACTTAGAAATACCTTGTGGCTGCTTACCTTTAGATTCGTGTATCGCTTGTCTAGATTTGTGGATAAAACTATAGTCTTTGCGCCTTCTCGTGTCTATTTGTTATCAATCTTCCAGAATTTCCTTAATTTGAGTCATAGAAGTGAGAAACAAAAACACTAATATCAAACCAAATTTTTGTCAATCTAGTTTTATTTTTCAACTCCAGACAAATGCATCCTTAGTTATACATCATTTTTCATCCATATGTAAGTGCGTAATACACTCATTTGAATAACCCCATCAGGAGGACTTGTTATTTTCAATTCATCTACAGGAGGAGAAGATACTTGGTCTCGTAATTGGAGTCTGAAGTTGGAAATTTTAGCGTGCTATAGTAAGTCGCAAACTTTATACATCCAAGGAAGAGGGTAACAGTAGGGTGAAAGATGCTGATCCGGCTTAAGAGTCTTACACCAACAGAGGGTGCTGCAGGGGCAAAACACTTGCCAGCAGAGACTGTGACCGTTGCATGCCCTGACCACCTTGTACTTGCTGATCTTCCTGTGGCAAAGGGCATTGGTGCAGTAACCACCACTACTCTTGTCAAGAATGTAGGCCGCAAGTCCCGTCGCCAGCTTGGAGAACGCGTCCACTTTTGTGTTAGCTGTGATTTTCCAATTGCTATCTATGGACGCCTGGTATTGACCGAGTAAACCTGTTTTTCCACATGTGTTAGTTGCTTTTACTTTTAAATTTCATGTCTTGGTGTTATTTTAGCTTCATATATTTTGCCCTTGGAAACTCTGGAAATTTATACCAGAAGTCAAGTGTTGAATTGCATGATATAAACTTCATATATATTAACTAGCCTGTGTTCTTGCAGAGCCCTTGTGAGCATGCTTTTTGTCTGGATTGTGCTAGGAGTTACTCAATATGCTATCTGTAAGCTTTCTTAACTTTACATGCTCGGACTAGTGCATCAATCTGTTATCTACAAAATTGTTCCTTTTCTTTCGCCCAATGAAGGAGCGGAAGGATTTTCTTGGGCTTGTAGTGTTGTAGAATTTCGGCATAACACCCAACGAGCATTTTGACTTTTGCATGTGGACTTCTATTATTTAGAAGAGTGCTCACCTAAAGGACTTAAATTGAGGGATATTGCACTATAGGGCTAAATTTGCATCAATAAATCATTGATTACCACCAAGTATTGGAATTAGTTGATGAGTCATTTGAACATTTAACTTCATGATTTATGTTACACAGTTGCGACGAACGCATCCAGAAGATTCAGACAATCAAAATGATGGAGGGGATCTTCATTTGTGCAGCCCCTCACTGTCTGAAATCTTTTCTGAAGAGGGGTGAATTTGAATCTCATATCCATGAGAACCATGCTTACCTTCTTCAGCCAAATGCAGGCAAAATGGATGGAAATGAATCAGAATCTCAGAATTCCAAACAATGTACAGTATCTGAATCCACAGCTCGAGCTCCACCAAGGCCATTAGTTTCTCCTGGTTCAAATTCTCAGCTCTATGATCGTGAGGACAAAGCTCGGCTTCAACAAACTAGAGAACAATCACTTCCAAGGCCAGTCATGCAGCCCAACCCAGCCCCAGATTTTGGGCAAGTCCAGAATAACCCTCCAGACCCCAGTCGCCCCCCAGGCTTTGACAGGCCTGCTCCCCTCAGTCTCTTCCATCAACAAAGCTATGATTCAATGGGTGCCCCAATGCAGGAATCTGGCCAATTTTCCGATAAGCAGCAAGGAATTTTATCTGAGACGCCCTTTTCTGAATATCCATCCATGCATTCCATTCCACCCCCTAATTATGCAATTCCTGTTAATTCCAATCAAGTGCGGATGCCTCTTCCATTTGGCCTTCCCTTTCTAGTTGATGGATCCCAGCAAGTTTATGGTGCTCCCTATGAGGAGATGGCACGACAGGATTCCGCCCCAGATGTTGGACCAGAACAGGGGTCATTACTGGGTTTCCCCCCTGGTTCGGTAGGTAAAATGAACTTTCCGGCTAGTTATCCACACTCTTGGAATGCAGGACAAGCTGGTGCTCCTTTTGAAGCTGCAGCAGGGGGTCAAGGAAATGCAGATAGTTTCTCTAACTCTGCAGAGCCTCAAGGACAAGCTGCATTTTATCAAGGAGAATATGGACGGAATCCTGGAGGTATGCCCTTCAATTCTCCGCAAATGAGCAACACCGCAATGGAACAAGTGCAGGGTGGTAATATCATGGATCCCAGGGACGGCAAGGGTGTTTTAGCAGCACAGCCAATGTCACTTCCTCCGCCACCTCCACCCCCACCTCACATGTCACAACTCAAACGTAAGTTTTATCAAGGCGATACAGGATGAGATGGACAGGGCTAGATCCGGAAACATGACCACCCCATGATGGCTGTTGATGGCCAAGTCTAGAACAGATTAATATTTGTAATTTTCCTCTTTTTTCCCTCCCTGGAACTCGTTTCTTGGTGGCATTATTGGTCCAAGGTTCTCTCTGAGTGTTGTTTTTCCCTGGCTCAGGTCTTTACATTTTGTTTTTTTTTTTTTTTTTCAATAGTTTGCACCAGTCGAAATTAATGAAGATGGCTTTTCGCAATGGCCATAAGATAAATGACTTAGAGAAAATGAAAGAGTGAGGCAGCTATATGTAGGGAATTGGCGAAAGCCATCATTTCGGCAACTGAGAAACCATCATTTGTCAAATGAATCCCAGTTGCCGAAATGATGACGATGAGCACTGAAAAGCTGCAGCAGGGATGGTGAGTACAAGCAAGATGTTTTCCACTGTTACAGTTTTCATTCGACATGATTCGAAGACAACGTAACAACCTCGTGTTACCCTTTCTTCTGGTAACTGCAATTTAGGCATGGGAGGAAATGGTGTGTTCACATAGGAATGTGCAACTAACAAGACATGCTGTGAGTTTTGGCCTTGTCGAAGCTTCTTGCGAACAAGACATGTTGGCAAAACATTTCATAAAAACAAATCTAAATATGTACAAATGTATAAACCATTTCAAAAGCTAAAAACTAATATTGTAACGTGCAGAAGGGAGAGGGGAGAGGTCTGGTGGTATTCCTCTTCGCTTAGAAGGTTCGAATCTCGTGAATGACGAATTCGATACCAAATTAGGTTGCCCATTGTGTTGCTTAACCAAACTCCTCCTTCTCCTAGTGTAAAAATATCGATGTATTTAAAAAAAAAAAAAAAAAAAAAAAAAAAAAAGCGTGCAGAACAATTAAGGGCATGTTTGGTGACTCCAAGCTACGGAGAAAACGTAATTATGTATAAATGTATTATTAGGAGGGAGTGCCTTGTATCTCAAGTAATACCCCCTGTAAGTGATTCGTTTGCTGAATATGCAGTTTTTCCGAAAACTCTGATTTCAATTTGGATTTCTGTTTTTAAAAAAAAATTCCAACAAAATCAAGATGTATTATGTTTTCCTCATAATCACCTATTATCTAAAAACACCAAAGTTAAGAAAACTTGCTGGTAGAACTATTTTCAAAAACTTGTTGGTAGAATTATTTTCAAGAACTGAATTCAAGACTAACTTAAGAAAATAGTCTATTATCTAAAAATACCAAAAGTGAGTTTTTAGAGTTTTTAAATTTAAACTCATTTCTTCTTTTTTTTCTCTCTCTCCTCCCCTCTCACTTGCTCCCAATCTTATCTATCTCATTTTTTTTTTTTTTTTCTCCTCCTCTGTCTTCAATGGTTCGCTCTCTTCATTCTCTCTCATCCTTCTCTTTATCTCCTGTCATCTCTTTCTCACACTCCTACGACTCCCTTTCTTTGGATCTTTTTGTCCAATTTAAGTTTTTTTTTATTTTTTGTTTATTTTTATGAAACAAACGATATTATTTATAGTTCTACATTAAAAGCGTATATTCACCCTCTCATTCATGATCTATCCCTCTCTCTTTTTGTAGACTCTTTTAGAGGGTATATTCAATAAGGAGTTTAAAAGATTTTAAAAGAATTTACAAATCTAGATATATTCATTCAAGATTTTATTTTAAAAAGGTTTATAAAACTCTATAAAAATCCGAGTATATTAATTCCTCATTTTAAAATAGTTCATAAAACTCTATGTGTAATTTGTTTTAAAATATGAAGGATTTTAATGGATTTTAAGGAATAATAAAGGGATTTTGAGAAATTAGACATCGTTTCTAAGATTTCAAGTGAACTCAACTAAAATTCACATGGAGTCTATGGAACTATATTAAGTTGAAAATCAGAGTACACATAACAAGCAAACAAACAAACGACGAATAAAATTCACATAGAGTCTATGTAACTACATTAAGTTCAAAACCATAGTACGCATAATGACGACCAAGCAAATAAAATAAACAAATACAAAACTACAAATATTATTAAAAACGAAGAAACAATAGTACAAGATTCGCCAAAAAATCTACATAACTCGTAAGACTACGCCACCAACTAATTCTAGACTGAATTACAAAACATGCTATTATAGAAATCTCTAATAAGCAACAAGTACGGAATCCTAATTTTAACCGACTAGGTCCAAATTCTAAACTAACAAGAAAACACAAACAATTAATTTAAAAAAAGAAAAAGAAAAAGAAACTATATAACACACCAAACTTCTATTTTTGTTCAACTTCTTAAATCTAATCTATATCTAGGCGTAAGCGAAGAGAACCACTGCCCGGCTCATTGACGACTCCTTTGCCGAAGAAGAATTGATTCAGCCGCTACCATACCACCTGTAAGTGATCTGTTTGCAGAACATCCGATTTTCTGAAAGCTTGGATTTCAACTTCGAATTTCTGTCTAATTCTACACTTTTCGTTGCCAGAAGCATGTTGATTTCGCTCGGGGTTTTCTGAAATTAGTTGATTGTCCTAGCGCCTGGAAAGTGTTTGATGATATGCCTCTGTGAGAATTTGATTAGGTGTTTGGGAAGGGCATCCGATTTTTCTCTATTGGATCGGACCACCGCCTTGAGGAGTCGCTACGATGGCGCGCAAGCGTAAGCTCCAGGCACCCACAAGTTGTGAATCTGAAGGAACTTGTTCTGAAAGTGGAATGGACAGATTTAGTGATCTTCCGGAGGAAGTTGTTCATCGGATTCTTTCCTTCCTCAATTTCAAAGACCTCACTCGAGTGGGTGCTGTATCCAAACAATGCAGACAATTTCGTCTCTCGGTTCCGGTGGTGAATTTTGGTACAGATGAGCGGACAGGCATAAAAAAAGTGGATTTAGCGAGGATGATGACTTCTTTTGATCGGTACTTGCTCGATCGTGGTCAGAACAGGATGCAGCGAGTCTGCATCAGCTTGAGTGTCTGTAAAAGTGAAACAACGAAGAAAGTTTCTGATGACCATTCTCGAGTACTCAAGTGGATTCGTGATGCAGTAAGGTGTAATGTTGAAGAGCTTGATCTCTATTTCTCACACCGTGTTAGTAGTACGTTCTCGTGGCCATCTTTCATCTTCCATTCTCAATCTTTGCGCTCTTTATCGGTGTCCTCAGGTGTAAGCATTTTGGAGATTGTTGAAGCGCCGTCTCTATCCTTTTCTAGTAATCTCCATTACTTATCATTGAGTTCTGTGAAAATAGTAGACGACAGGGTTTTCAAATGGATCTCATGCTGCTGCAAGTGCCTTAAGGAATTACGTCTTATTTCTATCAACGGTATACCAAATATCTCCATTGAAAGTTCGTCTTTGGTTAACTTATATGTTTTCGAGTGTGGTGACATACATCTTGTTATATCGGGTCAGAAACTTGAATATATAGATATGGACTGGGGTGGTTACGATGCATCTACGAGCAGAAAAAGCACAATTAGCAACACATCATTGAAGATTTTTGCTCCAAATCTTAAAACTTTGAAATGGAAAGGCGAATTGAGGAATAGCCAAAGTCTGGGAAATTTAAAGAGTTTGGAAGAAGTTGAGATTTTCTTAGCGCCTCTGAAAAATGAGTTTGACAAAGTATTGGAGGTTCTTTGCAGTATATGTTCGGCAAAAGTTATGACCATAAACGAGGAGACCGTTAAGGTAAAGTTCACTTATTCTCTGGACCTTTTTTGTAAAAACACTATAAATAATTTTGTGAATTGACTCTTGAGAGTGTTTTCACTTTTCAATCATGGAGATTGCATTCTTATTGTGATGTTATTGATGCGATATTTGTGAGATGAAGTAACTTAAACAGCATTAGACTTTAATTTTTTGACAAATTAATGATCATATTAATCAAGATTGTGATAATTCTTGTGTTCTTTCTATGTAATTAAGATTTTTTTCTTGAAAACTTGCAGGCTCTGTACAAGGAAGGTTCCACGACAACACTAATATTGGATAATATTTTAAACTTGAGCATACATTGTGAGAACTTGAATAACAGGCTTGTTCCTGCAATGGTCTCTCTTCTTAGGAGAATGCCTAATCTGAATATTTTGTGCATAAAGACTAGCTGTGAGAATTTGACTCCTGAAAAAGTAAGTAAAAGCCTGTGTTGCCTATTGATCTCCCTCTCACGCATACGGCACATATTTTTCTTGTTCTAATTTTTAGAATCATTTGCTAATAAATTAGGGCGACCTTATGTATTTCTTAAGAAAACCCTCCTATTAAACAATGAAAACTCAAAATTTAACCCAGATTAAATGACAGCAAAAGGGTTAGCTAGTTTCTTTTAATTTTTTTATGTAGCGATATATTTTCACTATGCATAATAGTTAGTTTTGTAATATATTAGTGCAACTTACATGTTTTTACATTTCCTTTTAGAATGGGTTGGGTCAATAACATGTAAACTTGGTGAATTTGTGGAATAGTTGGGTTAGTCAGAGTCACAGAAAAGTTAATTTGTTTTTGAATTACTTTGTGTTTATTTGGTGATTTTGAATTAATTTTTTTTCATGTCTTTAGGCAAGTCTCTCCAGTAATGAATGCTGGAAATTGCAAAACCTTGTTTTCATTCATCAGCTTAAGGAGGTAAGCATAGAGAATTCCTATGGGTCTAATGAAATTGAGTTTGCAATGTATGTTCTGTGAGAATTTGGCTCCCGGAACAGTAAACAGTAAGTGAAAGTCTATGTTGCCTATTAATCGCCCTCTTGCGCACACGACACACATTTTTCTTGTGCTAATTTGTAGAATCATTTTCTTATAATTTAGGGAAACTTTATTTAAAGTTTAAACCCAACAATTTCTTAAGAAAACCCTCCTATTAAAAGAATTAAAAGTCAAAATGTAACCTTAGAGTACATAGCAGCAAAGGGGTTAGCTAGTTTCTTTTAATGTTCTACTTTTTATGCAGTGAGGATTTGGGGTAAGTCACACAATTGGGAAATCATAATAATTACGTATTGAACTCGCAATCCAAGTAAGTCAAACTTGAGACATCCCACTTACAAGTTAGAGAAGAATATCGCTAGACCGTAGTGCTATTGGCCATAAGACAAGCTAGTTTGAAAAAGACAACTCTGAAACTGCTATCAATATTCAGAAACTCAACATAGTCATCACTTATCTCCAACTAAAAATCCCTAAGTCCTAAGTGAAACTTGTATAATCTCTGCCCTAGCTTCATTATAGTGTAAATAAATAAGTTAAGACAAATTAAACATACTCTCAAACTGTATTTTGTGGGTCTTCAAACAAGATACGAATATAATTTTTGAGTTTGAGGTTAAATTTATTTGATTTTCATAAGACATGTTTGACAAATCAGCACTTAATGTGGAATGTACCATGTACTTCATCGATCTAGAGGTTTGGCAGTGTGGTACTGTACATCCTTCTTCGGGTGTAATGGGGTTAGTTTTGGAATATATTTACGTTCCTTTTTGGAAGGGGTTTAGATCAACATATTGAGTTTGGCGAGTTTATGGAATAGTTGGGTTAAACAGAGGCACCCAAAAATTGTCGTCAAAAGATGAATTTAGAAAGTTGTGTTTCTATTTGGTAATTTTGAATAATTTGCTTCTTTTTTTTTTTTTTTTTTTTTTGCACAACAAATTAATTTGCTTTTATGTTTTCAGGCAAGTCACTTTGGTAATGAATACTGGAAACTGCAAAACCTTGCTTTCATTCATCAGCTTAAGGAGGTAATCATAGAGAATTCCTATGGATCTAATGAAATCGAGTTTGCAAGATATATTCTCGAGCGTGCTCAAAATTTGAAGAAAATGGTCATTGTTCATCGTGACGATGATGCTCCATCAAAAGTTGCTGGGATGGTGAGTAGGAGCAAGATGATTTCCAGTGCTTCCATTTTCATCCAGCAGGATCCACACAGGATTTACAGAATTTGTGGTCCGGGATCTTACATTTCGTATTCGGGACCTGATATATTGAAATCTGGGATAGTGACTATGAGATCTTAGACAGTGACATAGCAAATAAGAGAGATTCTCGGGATCTAGAAGGAAGAAGGATTGATTTTTTTTTTTTTTTTTTTGGGTAAATAAACAAACATTTCGTACGTCTTTTAACAGTTTGCATGAGTAGAAATCAAATTCAAGGTGTAATGTTGAAGAGCTTGATCTCTATTTCTCACAGAGTGTTAGTACCAGTACGTTGTCGTTGCCATCCTTCATCTTCCATTCTCAATCTTTGCGCTCTCTTTCGGTGTCCTTGAATACATTCATTTCGGAGGTTGTTGAAGCGCCGTGTCTATCCTTTTCTAGTAATCTCCGTTACTTATCATTGAGTTCTGTTAAAATAGTAGACGAGAGCATTTCCAAATGGATCTCATGTTGCTGCAAATGCCTTCAGGAATTAGTCTTATTTCTATAGACGGTATACAAAATATCTCCATTGAAAGTTCGTCTTTAGTTACCTTTTATATTTTCAATCGTGGTGACATCCATCTTACTATATCGGTTCAGAAACTTGAAACGATACATATGTACTGGGGTGGTTACAATGTATTTGCGAGCAGAGAAAGCACGAATAGCAACACATCAGTGAAGATTTTTGCTCCAAATCTTAAAACTTTGAAATGGAGAGGCAAATTGAGGAATAGCCAAAGTCTGGGACGTTTAGATAGTTTGGAAGAAGTTGAGATTTTATTAGAGCCTCCCAAAAATGAGTTTGACAAAGTATTGGAGGTTCTTTGCGGTATATGCTTGGCAAAAGTTCTTATTATAAACGGAAAGACCATTAAGGTAAAGTTCACTCTATTCTCCCGACGTTTTTCATAAAATGGTATAAATAATCTAATGGCTTGAGTTTTCACTTTTCAATTATGGAGATTGCATTCTAATTGTGATGGCATACTTCTTGTGATATTTGTGAGACTTACTGAGGAAATGTAAATTTTTGACAAATTAGTGATTATATTATTCTAGATTGTGATAATTCTTGTGCTCTCTCTCTCTCTCTCTCTAATTAAGATTTTTTTTTTTTTTTTTTTGGGAAAAACTTGCAGGCTCTGTACAAGGAAGGCTCCACGCCAACACTAATATTGGATAATATTCGGAACTTGAGTATATGTGAGAGCTTGAATAAAAAGTTTGTTCTTGCACTGGTCTCTCTTCTTAGGAGAATGCCTAATCTGAATATTTTGTGCATAAAGACTCGCTGTTGGAAGTTGACTTACAGAACGGTAAGTGAAAGTCTATGTTGCATATTAATCTCCCTCTCACGCACACGAATCACATTTTTCTTGTGCTAATTTGTAGAATCTTTTTCGTATAAATTAGGTTGGCTTTATTTACACCCAACAATATCTTAAGAAACCCCACTATTAAAAGAATGAAAACTCAAAATTTAACCTAGATTAAATGACGGCAAAAGGGTTAAGCTAGTTTCCTTTTATGTTCTATTTTTTATGTAGCGATTTATTGTTAGTGGGTGGGCTATTCCTAGACCATTGTACTAGCGGCCATAATAATTAGGTATTGAACTTGTTTTCCAAGTAAGTCAGTTTTGAGAAACCCCACTTACAAGTTAGAGAAGAATATTGCTAGACTGTAGTGTTATTTGACATAAGATTACAACTATGAAATTGCTTTCAAATATCAAGAAACTCAACATAGTCATGACTTATCTCGAACTAAAAATCCTATATGAAACTTATATTAATCTCTCACTAGATTCATTATGTTGTAAGTACATGAGTTCAAACAAATCAAATAATAGCCTCTCAAATTGTGTTTTGTGGGTCTTCAAATGAGATATGAATATAATTTTCGAGCTTGATTTCAAATTTATTTGTTTTTCATAAAACATGTTTGACAAACTAGCAATACATGCATAACCTAACATCTAGCGAAAATCATTATAAAGGTTTGGCAGTGTGCTACCGTAAATCCTTTGGGTGTATAATGGTGGTAGTTTTGGAATATATTGCGTGTAACTTACATATTTTTACATTTCCTTTTAGAGGGGGTTGGGTCAATAACATATAAAGTTGATGAATTTAAGGAATAGTTAGGTTAAACAGAGTCGCACAAAAGTTCATTTGTTTTTAATTATTTTGCATTTATTTGGTGATTTTGAATTAAATTGTTTTATGTCTTCAGGCAAGTCACTTTGGTAATGAATACTGGAAACTGCAAAACCTTGCTTTCATTCACCAACTCAAGGAGGTAAGCATAGAGAATTCCTATGGGTGTAATGAAATCGAGTTTGAAAGGTATATTCTTGGCGTGCTCAAAATTTGAAGAAAATGATCATTGTTCATCGTGATGAAAATGCTCCATCAAAAGTTGCTGGGATGATGAGTAGGAGCAAGATGATTTCCAATGCTTCAGTTCACATTCGGCAGGACCTAGACTACATCTACACTCTCTGGTCCGGGGATCCCACATAGCTATTTTGATGTCTCAGATAGAGATTCACGTAGCATTTGAAATCGAACCAAGATTAGATTGCAACTCTCATCACATGTTGCATGACATTAATTGACAGGATATTTCTCTAGTAATATTTCCTTGATATTTCTCTCATACAGCATTTGAATCTGGTGATGTTCTTAATCCATCGTGCCACCAACGATCAACAGATTAGATCACCAAGAGGTATGCAGCTACTTTGAAGAACAATCTTGGGTTCTCGCACACAAATATCTCGGGAAAACCAACATCAAAGAATTTACTTGATTTCGAACAAAAATGCAATTTCATGAACCATTTCTTCTGATAACTGCAATTCAGGCATGGGAAGAGATGGTGTGTTCACATAGGAAGGCGCAACTAACAAAATGCATGCTTAATAATGTGCCCTAAGCTTTATATGATCGAAGATAAATTTCTGATATGGTCGGTAGACGGTTAAAAACGTTAATATTTGTTGTCAAAACGTAAGCTGAAAGTTCATAAAAACAAATCTAATTACGTACCAATGTATACAAAAGTAATAACCATCTTAAAAGCTAAAACCTAATGTTTTTGTATGAAATTTCTTCTTCTTTTTTTTCAAATTGATAACTTTTCAAAACCAAAATTTGAATATTTTTGCCTCGTGCTCATTTTGTCTTGGCCCGCCATGGTTGTAAAAGCCCAGCCCATGAGAGGTGGCTAACCCTAAACTAGAGGGGGAGTGCCTTGTATCTCACGTACTACTCTCATCTATTTAGTCTTCCTGCGAGACTTCATCGTCGAAGAAGAATTGATTCAGCCACTAACACCTGTAAGTGATTCGTTTGCAGAATATACGATTTTTCCATTAACTTTTATTTCAATGTAGGATTTCTGTCTTATTTTACACTTTTGATTTTTGAAAAATCTGGGCTTGTTGATTTCTAGGGTTTCCTGAAATTTAGTTGATTGTAGTAGTGCCCGGAAAATGTTTTAATTAGGAATTTGGCAAGGACATCCCGTTTAGTTGGTTGCAGGAAAGGATTATCTCTAGTAGATCCGGCCTTGAGGAGTCACTGCGATGGCCGGGCGCAAGCGTAAGCTCCGGGCATCTACAAGTTGTCAAGCTGAAGGAACTTCCTCTGAAAGTGGAATAGACAGATTTAGTGATCTTCCGGAGGAAGTTGCCCATCATATTCTTTCCTTCCTCAATTTCAAAGACTTCACTCGAGTGGGTGCTCTGTCCAAAAGATGCAGGCAAATTCATCTATCAGCTCCGGAAATGGATTTTGGTGCAATTTTAGAAGTTATTATTATGAACGAGAAGACCGTTACGGTAAACTTCATTCTATTCTCCAGACGTTTTTCGTAAAAGCAGTATAAATAATCTCATGACTGGAGAGTTTTCACTTTTCTATCATGGAGATTGCATTCTTATTATGATGGCATACTTGTGATATTTGTGAGACTTACTGGGAAATGTGAGTTCTTATTTACACGCAAGTTCTGTCCGATGAAGGAACTTAAAAAGCATTTGAATTTATGGAAAAACTTGCAGGCTCTCTACCAGGAAGGCTCCAAGCCAACACGAATATGGGATAAAATTCGGAACTTGAGTATACATTGTGAGAGTTTGAATAACAAGCTTGTTCCTGCAGTGGTCTCTCTTCTTAGGAGAATGCCTAATCTGAATGTTTTGTGCATAAAGACTAGCTGTGAGAAGTTGGCTCCCGAAAAAGTAAGTGAAAGTCTATGTTGCTTATTCATCTCCGTCTCACGCACACGACACATTATTCTTGTGCTAATTTGTAGAATCATTTGCTTTTAAATTAGGGCGGCTTTATTACAGCAAAAAATTTCTTAAGAATTCCATCCTATTAAAAGAATGAAAACTCGAATTTAAACTAGATTAAATGACAGTAAAAGTGTTAGCTAGTTTCTTTATAATTATTTTTGACGTAGTGATATATTGTCAGTGGGTGGGGTATTGCTAGACCTAGGTTGATCTTGTCTTCCAAGTAAGTCAAATTTGAGAGATCTTACTTACAAGTTAGAGAAGAAATTGCTAGACCGTAGTGCTAGTTGCCATAAGACTACAACTATAAAACTACTATCAAATATCTAGAAACTCAGTATAGTCATTATAGTGTAAGAAAATAAGAAAATAAGATTATATTAATCTCTCACTAGATTCATTATAGTGTAAGAAAATAAGTTAAAACAAGTCAAATAACAGCCTCTCAAATTGAGTTTTGTGGTTCTTCGAATGAGATATTAATATAATTTTCTAGCTTGATATCAAATTTATTTGTTTTTCATTAAACATGTTTCACAAACCAGCACTGAATGCGTATAATGGTATTAGTTATGGAATATTGCGTGTGACTTGCATTTTTTGACATTTCCTTTTAGAGGGGGTTGGGTCAATAACAGATAATGTTGGTGAATTTATGGAATAGTTGGGGTAAACAGCACACACAAATTATCGTGAAAAAATGGCAAGGTATATGTATTTATTTGGTAATTCTGAATTAATTTGTTTTTATGTTTTTAGGCAAGTCGATTTGGTAATGAATACTGGAAACTACAAGACCTTGATTTCATTAACCAGCTTAAGGAGGTAAGCATAGAGAATTCCTATGGGTCTAATGAATTCGAGTTTGCAAGGTATATTCTTGACCATGCTCGAAATTTGAGGACAATGGTTATTGTTCTTCGTGATCAAACTGCTCCATCAAAAATTGTTGGGATGGTGAGTAGGAGCAATAGGATTTCCAGTGCTGTTGTTGTCATTCGGCGGGCCTAGACGTCACCTACACAATCTCTAATCATGGTCCGGTGATCTCACAGACCGATTTTGATAGTTCATATTGTGATTAGGAGATCTCAGATAGGCAATTAACTTATTGAGCAAGCAAAGGGTTTTTTGGGATAGAAAAGGAAGAACGTTTGATATTTAAAGAAAAAAACATTATGTATGTTCTTGTCATAGTACATTACATTGACAGGATATTTCTGCAATATTTCTTTTGTAATATCTTTTTACAATTTGCATCTCCCAAATAAATTGTCTTGCAAGGCACGCAAATTATAATTTGGGATTAAAAGAAATCAAGAGCTCTTGTTCCTTCTTTCATCATTTCTCTCATATACTTCTCATCCATCATTTTCCTCACATTCCTTCTTTATATATATCTCAAATATAAAAAATTGGGTTGTGCCACACAATTGGCCAACCACTAACTCGCTATTAAACTCAACACAAATATAATATTACGTCGATGTTGAGAATTCTTACTTACAAGTGAAGAGGGATGCCACTAAATTATAGTACTAGTACGTAATGAAACGAAAAATTAAGAACAAACTAATTATCAAACAGACAAGTAAAGTTATTTTAATTAATGGGCCAAAAAACAAGATCGACGAATTGAACCAGTAGGATGAATTTGGTCAATGGGTCAATAAACCTTAATGCTATATGTTGGTAATTTCAATTTGAGATTCTGAGCCTCTACATTTAAATTTGTTCATTTACATGTATTTCGCTGTATCTAAACCATTAGATCAATCTAATGATTAAAAACTTTACGCGTCAACTACAATTAACTATAGTTTTTAGAAAAAATTAAAAAAAAAAAAAAGTTCTCCCTAACAAAGACTAAATGTAACGATTTTTACAATAGCTTGCCGAAATACGGATAGATGCAGAAAGTCTAAATATAGATGCTCGGAATCCTTCCAATTGTATATGTTGTGCTTTCAATATGCTCCGCTATTAGAGGGTGGCTATATTTAGTGTGGGTGTATATATGGTAATATGTATGAAGAGATCTACTCCAATGAGTCACAGCTTTCAAAAACTTCAGCCATTGCTTGCCGAAGAAGTAACCCAACTTAGCCACCACTCACTGTAAGTGTTTGATGAGAATTTTATGAAATATTTGTCAATGTCATTCTTGTGTGTGTGTGTGTGTGTAGTCAGCTAGTTATGATAAGTTGTTGTAACAGTCGGTTGCTGAGAACAATTCTCTCTAGTATCTCCGCGCAACGCCTTCAATGGTCACTTTCATGGGTTGTAACTCGCAACAGTAAGTTTCGGGCATCGGCAAGTTGTAAAGCTCAAGGAAGTTCTGAAAGTGGAATAGACAGATTTAGTGATCTTTCGGATGAAGTTGCTCATCAGAATTGTTCTGTTAATTGCAATTTAGGCAAGGGAGGAGCTGGTGTGTTCGCATAGGAAGGTGTAACTGAGGTGGTAAAACTTTAGGACAAAATCTTAAGAGAAAAGACCTTATTTCCTAAAGTCTAACCCCTTATTTTTTTTTTTTTTTAAATGTCACATATAATTTTTTTGAATATCACATATAATTTTTTTAAATATCACATAGGAAGGTGTAACTGAGGTGGTAAAAGTTTAGGACAAAAGAGAAAAGACCGGATTTCCTAAAGTCTAACCCTCTAAATTTTTTTGATATCACATACTAATTGAATACATCCAGATTTTTGTGGAATTTTATAAAATTCTTTAAATCTTGTTTGAATATCGATGAACTTCCATGGCTTTATTTAAAATTTGGATAGAATACAGCTCTCTCTGAAAAAGGGTTTTGCCCCTCTCTTCAAAACTCTTTGGCTTAGGGAGTACAATTGGAGTTTAAAGAATTTTAAAAGAATTTTAAAAATCTAAATGTATTCAATTAGGATTTAAAAAAAAATTATAAAACTCCATAAAAAACTCGAGTGTATTTATTACGGATTTTAAAAATTCAACTAGGATTTTATTTAAAAGATGAATGATTGTTAACCGGTTCGGCCGATTGACGACTCCGGAGAAAAACCTAATCATGTAAAAATGTATATAAAAATACGAAGGATTGTTAACCCTAAAGTCCAGGAGGGAGTGCCTTGTATCTCACGTATTACTCTCATCCATATACTCTTCCTGCGAGACCTGATTGCCCAAGAAGAATTGATTCAGCCACTACCACCTGTAAGCGATTCCTTTGCAGAATATGCGATTTGTTTTTCGAAAACTCTGATTTCATTTTGGATTTCTGTCTAATTGTACACTTTGCTTTTCGAAAAATCTGGTGGGTTTGTTTGTTGATTTCGCTTGGTGATTGCGGTAGTGCCTGGAAAGTGCTTGATAATATGCATCTGTGAGATTGAGAATTTAATTAGGTATTTGGCAAGGGCACCCTGTTTAGCTGCAAAACTGTCTTGGGTGTGTGGTTTTGATATGTTGTTGCAAATGTTGGTTGCAGGAAAGGATTATCTCTTGTAGATCCGACCACCTCCTTGAGGAGTCACTGCGATGGGGTGCAAGCGCAACCTGCAGGCATCCACAATTTGTCAAGCTGAAGGGACTTCCTCTGAAGGTGGAATAGACAGATTTAGTAATCTTCCGGAGGAAGTTGCTCATCATGTTCTTTCCTTCCTCAATTTCAAAGACCTCACTCGAGTGGGTGCTCTGCCCAAAAGATGCAGACAATTTCACATATCAGTTCCGGTGGTGGATTTTGGTACAAATCAGTGGACAGATGTAAAAAAAGTGGATTTACCGGGGCTGATGAGTTCTTTTGATAGATACTTGCTTGATCGTGGTCATAACAGGATGCAGCGAGTCTGCATCGGCTTGAGTTCCTATAAATCTGAAACAGCGAAGAAAGTTTCTGATGACTATTCTCGAGTACTCAAGTGGATTCATAATGCAGTAAGGTGTAATGTTGAAGAGCTTGATCTCTATTTCATATACCGGGTTACTAGCATGTTGTCATTGCCATCTTTCATTTTCCATTCTCAATCTTTGCGCTCTCTATCGGTGTTCTCGGGTACACGCACTTTGGAGATCGTTGAAGCACCGTCCCTATCCTTTTCTAGTAATCTCCGTTACTTATCATTGAGTGATGTTAAAATAGTAGACGAGAGGATTTTCAAATGGATCTCATGTTGCTGCAAATATCTCAAGGAATTAAGTCTTAGTTCTATCAAGGGTACACAAAATATCTCCATTGAAAGTTCGTCTTTGGAATCCTTTTCTTTTTTCAATGATGACGATGACGATGACGATGACAATGACGACTGCCATCTCAATATATCTGGTGAGAAACTTGAAAATATAGATATGTACTGGGGTGGTTACGAAGTATTTGAGAGCAGAAAAAGCACAAATAGCAACACATCATTGAAGATTTTTGCTCCAAATCTTAAAACTTTGAAATGGAAAGGAGAAGTGAGGAATTGCCAAAGTCTGGGAAATTTAAAGAGTTTGGAAGAAGTTGAGATTTTATTGGAGCCTCTGAAAAATGAGTTTGACAAAGTATTGGAGGTTCTTTGCAGTATATGCTCGGCACAAGTTCTTATTATAAACGACAAGACCATTAAGGTAAAGTTCACTCAATTCTCCGCATGTTTTTCTTGAAAACAGTATAAGTTCTTATTTATGCGCAATATGAAGTAACTGAAAAACATTTTGACTTTAATTTTTTGACAAATTAGTGATTATATATAATCTGGATTGTGATAATTCTTGTGCCCTTTCTCGCTAATTAAGATTTTTTGTGGAAACATTTGCAGGCTGTGTACAAGGAAGGTTCCAAGCGAACACTAATATTGGATAACGTTCGGAACTTGAGCATACATTGTGAGAGCTTGAATAACAAGCTTGTTCCTGCTGTGGTCTCTCTTCTTAGGAGAATGCCTAATCTGAACATTTTCTGCATAAAGACTAGATGTCACAGATTGACTCCTAGAACAGTAAGTTAAAGTCTATGTTGCCTATTAATCTCCCTTCGCGCACACGACACACATTTTTTTTGTGCTAATTTGTAGAATCATTTTCTTATAATTTAGGGCAACTTTATTTAATCCAAACAATTTCTTGAGAAAACTTTCCTATTGAAAGAATGAAAACTCATAATTTAACCTAGATTAAATGACAGCAAAAGGGTTAGCTAGTTTCTTTTTATGTTCTATTTTTTTATGTAGCGATTTATTGTCAACAGCGGGTATTGCTTGACCGTAGTACTAGTGGCCGAACTCGTTTTCCAAGTAAGTTGATTTTGAGAGACTCCACTTACAAGCTAGAGAACCATAGTACTAGTTGCCATAAGACTACCACTATGACGCAGCTATATCCAGAAACTCAACATAGTCATCACTTATCTCGAACTAAAAATCCTATATGATACTTATATTAATCTCTCACTAGATTCATTATACTGTAAGGAAAATAAGTTAGAACAAATCAAATCATAGTCTATCACTTTGTGTTTTGTGGGTCTTCAAATGAGATCTGAATACAATTTTGGAGCTTGATTTCAAATTTATCTGTTTTTCATGAAACATGTTTGACAACCAGCTGTATGCGTAATGTAACAGTCACCGAACATCATCTAAATGTTCAGCAATGTGCAATCGTAAACCCTTCGGGCATATAATGGTGTTAGTTTTGTAATATGTTGGTGTAATTTATATTTTTTTACATTTCCATTTAGTGGGGTTGGGTCAATAACATATGAAGTTGGTGAAGTATGGAATATTTGGGTTAAGAAAAGTCGCACAAAAGTCATTTGTTTTTTAATTACTTTGTATTTATTTGGTGGTTTTGAATTAATTTGTTTTTATGTCTTTAGGCAAGTCGCTTTGGTAATGAGTACTGGAAGCTGCAAAACCTTGCTTTCATTCACCAGCTTAAGGAGGTAAGCATAGAGAACTCCTATGGGTCTAATGAAATCGAGTTTGCAAGGTATATTCTCGAGCATGCTCAAAATTTGAAGAAAATGGTCATTGTTCATCGTGATCAAAATGCTCCGTCGAAAGTGTCTGGGATGATGAGTAAGAGCAAGATGATATCCGCTGCTTCACTTCTCATTCGGCAGAACCCAAAGCACTTCTACACTATCACTTATATTGGTCCTGGGATCTCACATTGCGATTTTGATATCTCAGATAGTGATTCGGAGAGCTCAGATAGAGATTCAGAGTTAAATTCTTAAGCAAGTAAAGGGATTTCTGGGATCTAAAGGGAAGATTGTTTGATGTTTAAAAAAAAAAAAAAAAAACATTGTTTACTGAGTTAAGCCTATTTGACATGGCATTTCTGCAATATTTCTTGTGTAATATCTTCCTTGCAATTTGCTTAACCCAAACCTAATTGTCTTGCAAGGCACAAAAATTAATAATCTGGGATCCGAAAAGGAATCAAGAGCTCCTATTCCTTCTTTCATCATTCATCTCATATTCACTTCTCCATCATTTCTCTCATATTTTTTTATATCTCACAAAAAAAAAAAAAAAAAAATGAAAACTATTGTGTGTGTGTGTGTATTATTAGTATATGCCCACATACAAAGTGTGTTTGAAATTTTTTACTTTTATTTTTTAAAATTGAAGGAGATAGGAAGAAGTGTGAGACCGTGAGAGTGGGGAGAGAGAGCGAGGTTTTTTTTTTAATTTTTTTATTTTTAGATTAGAGATGATAAATGTCACATCTGGTCCGGGCTCCCACCACATCCCGGGCTCGACTCTACCATAGTACGATATTGTCCGCTTTGGGCCCCGACCACACCCTCACGGTTTTGAACCTGGGAACTCACACGAGAACTTTGTAGTGGGTCACCTATCATGAGATTGCTCTCACGTGAACTTGCTTAACTTCGAAGTTTCGATGGAATCCGAAGCCAGTGAGCTCCCCAAAAGGTCTCGTGCTAGGTAGAGATGGGAATATACATATAAGGCTTAGAGGATCCACTCCCCTGGGCAATGTGGGATGTTACAATTCATCCCCCTTAGGGGCCCAACGTCCTCGTCGGCACACTTTCGGCTAGGGATTGGCTCTAATACCAAATTGTCATATTGTCTATCATAGTACGATATTGTCCGCTTTGGGCCCTGACCACGCTCTCACGGTTTTATTTCTGGGAATTCACACTTCCGGCTAGGGATTGGCTCTAATACCAAATTGTCATATTGTCTATCATAGTACGATGTTGTCCGCTTTGAGCCCTGACCACGCTCTCACGGTTTTATTTCTGGGAATTCACACGAGAACTTCTCAGTGAGTCACCGATCATGGGATTGCTCTCACGCAAACTCGCTTAACTTCGGAGTTCCGATGGAATCCGAAGCCAGTGAGCTCCCAAAAGGCCTCATGCTAGGTAGAGATGAGAATATCCATATAAGGCTTAGAGGATCCACTCCCTTGGGCGATGTGGGATGTTACAATAAAATCTCATATAGATGAGGCTTAAACAAAGAACAACAAAATTATGTTTTGTGAAATTACATTATTGTCTTTAACTTTTATGTTGTGATAGAAGACAAATATGTTTTTCCATCCTCTTTTGGTTGACAAAGAGAGTTTCATTAATATGTAGTTTAGATATATACAAATATATTCTATTTTAAAGGGAAAAGAAATTAGGAAGTGCCACACAATTGGCCAACCACTAATTCGGTATCAAACTTAAAACAAATATAATATGTTGAACTTGAGAAATTTCAGTTACAAGTGAAGAGAAATGACACTAAGTTGTAGTACTTGTTGGTAATAAAAACCAAAAATTAAGAACAAAATAATTATCAAACAAACAATTAAAGTTATAGGAGTGAATGGGACAGTAAAGAGGTTCAACGAATTGCATCAGTAGAATGAATTGAGCCAGTGGGTCAATAAAACCTTAAGGCTATATAATGGTAATTCCAATCTGAGATCCCGAGCCTCTACCTTTAGACTTTGTTCATTTACTTGTATTTCGCTGTATCTAAGTCAACATTTTAAGACTTTGTTGGTAATTCCAATGAACTTCCATAGATTTATTTAAAATCTTGATAGCATGCACCTGGATTTGTAAATATACATCTATCTTAAAAAGGGTTTTACCCCTCTCTACAAAACTCTTACCTTATTTATCCTTCTTGTAGAGTCTTTTAGGGAGTATAATTGGAGTTTAAAGAATTTTAGACTTATTTATCGCCTTTTTTTAAACTCTTTTAGGGAGTATAATTGAAGTTTAAATAATTTTGAAAGAATTTACAAATCTAAATGTAATCAATTAAGATTTTAAAAAAGTTTATAAAACTCGATAGAAAATAGAGTGCATTCATTTCGGATTTTAAAGTTCAATTAGGATTTTATTTTAAAAATGAAGGGTTATAATGGATTTTAAGGATTTTAAAGGGATTTGGGTAAATCAGGCATATTTTTCTAAGGTTTCTAATGAATTCATGTAAAAATCACACGGAGTCTAATTACATTAAAGTTGAAAATCAGAGTACACATAAGAAACAAACGAACAAGCAAATAAAATTTACATGATGTATATGGATCAACATTAAGTTGAAAATCAAATTACGCATAACGAACAAGTGAACTAACAATAAACTGATTACAAAACTAAAAATAATTTTGAAAACAAACAATCAATACTACAAAGATTCGCCAAAAAGTCTACACAACTTGTAAGGCTATGTGATGAACTTATTCTAAATTGAATTACAAAACATGCTATTTATATATAATTAAATCTTTAATAGTCAATAAATACAAAATCCTAATACCAACGGGCTATACTCAAATCCTAAACTAACGAAAAAACCCAAACAATTAAATATACAGAATATACTAACATTATGTTTGGATGAGGGAAATAAACTTAGAATTTTGATAAAAGTCAAAATTTATAAATTGATATGCACCAATTTCCTTGTTTGAATTCATAAATATAGAAATTTAGAATTTATGTTTGGATGAGGGACAAAAAAAACTTGGAATTTGAGACCTCCAATTCCCAAGTTCAAATTCTATATAAATATGTGTCATTTCTTAATTTATATGATTGAGAGTTTAAAAATAACAAATTTCGTATTCAATTTCATTGTTCTTTTAGGTTAACCAAACAATAAAATTTACAAATTCTAGAAAATAAAATCTCGTCATTTCAATTTCCGTCGTTTTTAAACTTCTTTGTAATCTTGAATTTATTCATCCAAACATTGTGTAATATTTTGGAACAACGCTTATATATAGGCATAAGCAAACAGAACCACGGCCCGGCTCATTGACGACTCCATAGCCGAAGAAGAAGTGATTCAGCTACTACCATACCACCTGTAAGTGATTTGTGTGCAGAACATCCGATTTTCTGAAAAGTTCGATTTCAACTTCGGTTTCAATTTCGAATTTCTCTCTAATTGTATGCTTTTCGTTACGAAAAGCATGTTGATTTCGCTTCGGGCTTTCTGAAATTAGTTGATAGCGGTAGTGCCGGGAAAGTGTTTGATAGAATGCCTCTGTGGGAGCTTAATTAGGTATTTGATAAATTGTTGCATATGTTGGTTGCAGGAAAGGATTATCATGGGGCACAATCATACGCCCCCGGCATCTGTAGGTTGTGAAGCTGAAGGAATTCCCTCTGAAAGTGGAGTAGACAGATTTAGCGATCTTCCGGACGAAGTTGCTCATCATATTCTTTCCTTGCTTAATTTCAGAGACCTCACTCGAGTGGGTGCTCTGTCCAAAAGATGCAGACAATTTCATCTCTCAGTTCCGGTAGTGGATTTTGGTACAGTTTGGTGGAAAGATGTAAAACAAGTGGATCTAGCGAGGCTGGTGACTTCTTTTGATAGATTCTTGCATCTTCGTGGACATAACAGGATGCAACGAGTCCGCATCGGCTTGAGATTCTCTACAAGCGAAGAAGAGAAGAAAGTTTCTGATGATCTTTCTCAAGTGGTACTCAACTGGATTCGTACTGCAGTGAGGTGTAATGTTGAAGAGCTTGATCTCTTTTTCGTACACTCTGTTACCAGTACGTTTTCGTTGCCATCTTCCATCTTCCATTCTCAATCCTTGCGCTCTCTATCGGTGTCCATGGATATAATCAAGTCACCGGTTGTTGAAGCGCCGTCTCTATACTTTTCTAGTAATCTGCGTTACTTATCATTGAGTTATGTTAAAATAGTAGATGAGAGTATTTTCAAATGGATCTCATGCTGCTGCAAATGCCTCAAGGAGTTACTTCTTAGTTCTATCGAAGGCGTACAAAATATCTCCATTGAAAGTTCGTCTTTGGAATCCTTCTCTTTTTTCAATTATGGCGACGTCCATCTCGGTATATCTGGTGAGAAACTTGAAAATATAGTTATGGCATGGAGTGGTTGCTATGTACCAACAAGTTTAAAAAGCAGCACATCATTGAAGATATTTGCTCCAAATCTTAAAAATCTGAAATGGGACGGCAATTTAAGAAATAGCCAAGATCTGGGAAAATTAAAGAGTTTGGAAAGAGTTGAGATTTGTTTAAAGCCTCAGAAAAATGAGTTTGGCAAATTAGTTGAGGTTCTTTGCAGTATATGCTCGGCAAAAGTTCTTATTATACACGCGAAGACCATTAAGGTAAAGTTCACATATCCTTCTGACCTTTTTGTAAAATAAAAAAAAGACTATACATAATCTTGTGACTTGTAAGTTTTCGCTTTTCAATCATGGAGATTGCATTCTTATTGTGATGGCATATTTGTTGTGATATATGTGAGACTTACTGGGGAAATGTGAGTTCTTATTTATGTTGCAACATCTGTTTTACTTCCATCTATGTATATATGTGTGTGTGTGTGTGTGTGTGTATCTTCTGTCCAATGAAGGAACCTACAAAGCATTTGAAATTATTTTTTTGACAAATTAATGATTATATTAATCTAAATTGTGATAATTTTTGTGTTCTTTCTCACTAGGTAAGATTTTTGTTGTGGAAAAACTTGCAGGCTCTGTACAAGGAAGGCTCCACACCAACACTAATATTGGATAATATTTGTAACTTGAGTATACATTGTGAGAGTTTGAATAACAAGCTTGTACCTGCATTGGTCTCTCTTCTTCGGAGAATGCCTAATTTGAATATTTTGTGCATAAAGACTAGGTGTGAGAACTTGATTCCGAGAACAGTAAGTGAAAGTCTATGTTGCCTATTAATCTCCTTCGCATGCACACGAAACACATTTTTCTCGTGCTAATTTTTTCTTATAATTAGGGTAGCTTTATGTAAACCCAACGATCTCTTAAGAAGATCCTGCTATTACAAGAATGAAAACTCTAAATTTAACCTAGATCAAATTACAGCAAAAGGGTTAGCTAGTTTCTTTGTATGTTCCTATTTTTTTATGTAGTGAGGATTTGGGGTTAATCACACAATTAGGCAATCATAATAATTAGGTATTGAACTCGTAGTCCAAGTAAGTCAAACTTGAGACATCCCACTTACAAGTTAGAGAAGAATATCGTTAGACCGTAGTGCTATTGGCCAGAAGACAAGCTAGTTTGAAGAAGACAACTCTGAAACTGCTATCAATATCAAGAAACTCAACATAGTCATCACTTATCTCCAACTAAAATCCTAAGTGAAACTTAACTAACTTCACTACAGTGTAAAGATATAAGTTAAGACAAATCAAATATATTCTCAAATTGTGTTTTGTGGGTCTTCAAATGAGATATGAATATAATTTTTGAGTTTGAGGTTTAATTTATGTGATTTTCAGACGACATGTTTGACAAATCAGCACTTAGTGTGTAATGTAACTTCTACTGATCATCAATATAGAGGTTCGGCAGTGTGCTACCGTACATCCTTATTCGGATGTAACGGGGTTATGTTTTTATTTGGTAATTTTGAAATAATTTGCTTTTTCTTTTTGGCACAACAAATTCATTTGTTTTTATGTTTTCAGGCAAGTCGCTTTGGTAATGAATACTGGGAACGGCAAAACCTAGCTTTCATTCATCAGCTTAAGGAGGTAAGCATAGAGAATTCCTATGGATCTAATGAAATCGAGTTTGCAAGATATATTCTCGAGCATGCTCAAAATTTGAAGAAAATGGTCATTGTTCATCGGGATGATGACGCTCCATCGAAAGTTGCTGGGATGGTGAGTAGGAGCAAGATGATTTCCACTGCCTCGGTTCTCATTCGGCAGGATCCACACCAGATTTACAAATTTCGTGGTCGGGGATCCTGCGATTCATACTGGGGACCGGATATATTGAAATCTGGGATAGTGACTCTGAGATCTTCGATAGCGACTCAGAGTTCAATGTTTTAGCAAACAAGAGGTTTGTTTGGGATCGAAAAGGAAGAATGTTTATTTATTTTTAAAATAAAAAAACAATATGTATGTCCTTAACAGTTTGGACGAGTAGAAATTAAACTCAAGATGCAACTAAGAATCAGTTTTTGAAATCAAACTCAAGATTGGATTACAGCTCTCATGTTGCATTACATTAATAGGCAGGATTTTTCTCTGGCAACATCTCCTTGCAATCTGCTTCACACAAACTGTCTAGCAAGGCAACTTGCATTAATTTAACTTGAAATATACCCAAAAACAGAAAAATCAATCGATCTCAAAAACTTAAAAAAAAAAAAATCTATGAGGGATTTTATACGAAATGCCGTGCAATTTTGGCTCTTTGATCACTTCACAATATAAACCACTATGCTATCACTCAACGATTGATTTTCCATTTGGTTACACAATGGACTTGTTATAATATTCATGGTGGAAATGGCTTTCTCCACTAAAGCAATAGCAACTGGTAGAATCAAAGCTAATGGAATTAGCAAATACATATTATTATATACTCTATTCTTCCTCGTCTCAAACATTTTTTTCATACGACTACCAATTCCTTTCAATTGAAAAAAAAAAATCACTACTTGAACACATATCAAGAATATAATGCCCAAGTTGATAGTAAAAAAATCAATAAGAATGGCATTTTATCACGAAGGACTACTCCAACTCCAACCACCGCCTTCAACGGTCGCTATCATGGCGCGCAGGCGTAAGCTCCGGACACCTCCAAGTTGTCAAGGTGAAGGAATTTGTTCTGAAAGTGGAATAGACAGACTTAGTGTTCTTCCGGATGAAGTTGCTCATCATATTCTTTCCTTCCTCAATTTCAAAGACCTCACTCGAGTGGGTGCTCTGTCCAAAAGATGCAGACAATTTCACCTATCAGTTCGGGTGGTGGATTTTGGTTCAGACTGGAGGCCACGAACAAAAACCAACCAGTTTCGTGCGAGACTGATGAGTTCTTTTGCTAGATACTTGCTTGATCGTGGTCATAACAGGTTGCAGCGCTTCCATGTTAGTTGGAAATTCTTTACAACAGAAAGAGTGAAGAAGCTTTGTGATGATGATTATCGAGTACACACGTGGATTCAAAGTGCAGTAAGGTGTAATGTTGAAGAGCTTCATCTTCATTTTAAAAACACTGTCTCTTCATTTTAAAAACACTGTCTCTTCATTTCCATCTTACATCTTTCGTTCTCAGTCTTTGCGCTCTCTATCAGTGGACTATCGGGGGATTTTTGAAGCACCGTCTCTATCTAACCTTTTCCAGTAATCTTCGTTACTTGTCGTTGAGTTCTGTTTGCATAGAAAACGAGAGGGTTTTCCAATGGATCTCGTGTTGCTGCAAGTGCATTAAAGAGTTACATCTTTATTATATTAAGGCTATGAAATGTATCGCCATTGAAAGTCCGTCTTTGGAGTCCTCCTCTGTTTCCAGTCATGGTGATTCCGTCCATCTTAGTATATCTGGTGAGAAACTTGAAAATATAGCTAGGTTCTTGTCTTCCTTCTGAGTAAGATCTTTTTTCTTGAAAAACCTGCAGCCTCTGTCCAAAGAAGGTTCCATGGAATGGTCTCGCTTCTTAGGGGAATGCCTTATCTTACTACTTTGTACATAAGCACTATGCCTAGCCAGTTCATATACAAACCCATAACAATACGTGAACGTCTGTATTGCCTATTGACCTCCCTCTCTCGCACACAAACTCAGCAGACACAGTTTTCTTGTGCTAATTTCTTCAATCATTTGCTAGCAAATTGCCTTTTGTATATTTTCAGTCAACCGGCTTTGGTATGGAATACTGGAAACTGCAACAAAACCTTGCTTTCATTCATCAGCTTGAGGAGGTAACCATAGAGAATGCCCATGGGTCTAATGATATCGAGTTTGCAAGATACGTCCTCGAGAAAGCTCAAAATTTGAAGAAAATGGTCATTGTTCTTCGTGATAAGGATGATCAAGAAAAAGTTGTAGCGGGGATGGTGAGTACAAGCAAGAAGGTTTCCACTGCCACGGATCTTGTTCAACGTTCGCTCATCGACAACATTTTTTTTTTTTTTTGAGAAGAAACTATAACATTTTATTAAAATAGAAAGTGGAATTACACAGAAGTGGATAAGAAATCCACCAAGAACAAAACAAGAAAATCTCTCAAGAGGATCTAATTACAAGTAGTAAAACCTCAACCAAAATCTCTTTACGCCTGCTAACATATCCTACAGTATGTGAGAAAGAGAGTAATTGTTAAAATCATTCGAAACTGAAGCCCAGAGGGCTGCCCAATATCTTACTCTTCCCCATAGATCTGCTACCCCCACACCAGAATAATCCTGAAAAAATCTTTTGTTACGCTCCAACCAAATGTTCCAAAAAACTGCCGACATCAAACAACATATCAACCTGAGATTGAGATTCAAAGACGTGATTTTTGAACAAACAAAGGTTTTTGTAGTATCTAAAAGGAATTATCTTTCATATGTTCTGAGACCTTTTATATACGTCCTAGATATTTTGTACGAGTCGAAATGAAACTCAGGATACATGTAAGACTCAACTCCTGGTATAGAACTCAGCATCAGATTACAAAAGCTCATGGTTCGTTCAAAGAAAAAAAAAAAAAAAAAGAAAAAAAAGATTACAAAAGCTCATGGTTCTTTGACTGGACATTTCTGCAATTCTCTCAGATACTATATCCTTACAACTTCACTCAAACCTAACTTGTCTTGCAAGGCACAAAAATTAAAACTTTGGGGAAGAAAAGATAAGGGGGGGTATTATATAATTTCGAAAAGAAAAAAAAAAAAAAAACCAATCGCACTTGACACTTCGCCTTAGCACTCTCGTGACCTTAACCCGAAAGGAGAGAAGAGAAATCAACCTAGTTTCTTCTTCACCAAATCCTCGTTTTGAAATCTGTTTGCATACTCATAATCTAGCTTAATATACAACTGCAGCAACTTCCTGTAGCCCATCATGACATATTTGTCCACATAATCCTCACACCTCTCGTAGAGCGCCGGCATGGTTAGAACAATGACAAGACCTGCACATCGGAAAACAAAAACATAAACCGACAGAAATTACGACATTTGAATCTGGTGATGGCTTCAATCCAATGGAAATGAAGCTTTAAACTTACTGGTGTAGCTCAAAGTAAGGAAATCAGTCAAGCCGCCAACAAAGTAGATCACCAAGAGGGATGTAGCTACTTTGAAGAACAATCTTGAGTCCTTTCCCAGGGAAATATTTTGGAAACCCGAGAGCAAAGCGTTTAAACGAATGCGGATGAAAGATGCCATTTCGTTTGCCATTTCTTCCGATAAATGCAATTCAGGCAGGGGAGGAGCTGGTCTGTTTACAAAGTAGGGAACGTGAATTGAGAGTGGCAATGTTGACACATAAACATACACTAGCCATTCCGAAATCTAAGACAGTGTTCGGATAAAAACAGAAAAACACGAAACATCTCGAGGAAAAAAAAATGCTACAAACCAGGATGTTTCGTGTTTTTCTTAGTTACAACGAAACCTGTTTAGGGTTCAGTTGTTTTCGATGAAGAACGATGAGTTTACATGAACTGAACGAATAATCAACCGATTTAACCACATAAATGTTACAATTCAGGAAAAGAAGCTCGGTTCAAATCAAGAAGCAACAAATTTTTGCGTGTACCGGTTAAGAATGGCGGCGGATTTAGCCCAGAGAAAGAGAGTTGTCATGAGGAGGAGAAGAACACTTGATGCAAGTGATAGCAGAGTGTAACCAGACTTCTCAAACACCAGCCAAACACATAGAGTTACTGATAGTATCCCCAAAGTCGCATTCTTCCGCCTCCACAGAATCACATCTGCAACTATAAAAACCACAAGATCCGATCTCATCTAGATCAAAACTTTGTAAGGAATTGCGGATCAAATGCAAACTATGCAGTGTCGGGGAGAGATCATTCTCATCTCTCCCTGAATTGCACCGAGGCCTTTTGAGATAAAATCGGCACCCCGATGCATAATGCATCTTAATTGCATACAGTACAACACCGGATATCAAAGTGAAATCGAACTACATTAATCAAGTCTATACTTTTAACTTTGAGAGCTCCAAAATACTGGATTACAATTTTAATCAAAATTTTAATCACAATTTAAGTAGAATGATAAACAAATCAGACTTACGAAGACCTCCTCCAAGGATCTCGTGAAGGGTTCTGTGCCTGTTGAACAACCTATCGGATGAACCCATTTTCCAAAAAAATACAGCCTGGAATTCCTGTTTGGATCTCCAAGACACAGATAAAGATGTTGGCTTTGAGTCCTTAGTAAAAGAGAAATAATGGGTTCCATGTATATATATTATATTATATATGTGTGTGTGTGTATACGGACGGATGTTAAAAGTTGCGTGCGGTGGTGGTCAGAGACAGAGAGTCGTGGCTTTCAGCTGAAAAGCGTCTTCCCATGGCTTTTTCTTGCTTTTTTCTACCTTGCTTCTTTTAATTTTTTTTCCAAAATGTGCAACTATTAAATGGTTTTATTTTTCCTTGATTTATATACAACAATTAGTCAATTACTGTCTACGCAGAAAACAGAGAGAGGGATCAAACTGCTGCTCTGCTCAGGTTGGCTGGAAACTGCTTTTCTTAAATTAAATATCCCGTTTGTCATTTTCACCCTTCAGTGAGTCTACTTTTAAAGGGTACTACTGTCATTTCGAGGATATTCTCGTCCACTTAGGTTCGTTGGTCGGCTCTTGAGGGCCCATTTTGTGACCACGATCGATCACTCCGTTGTTGGATTTTTTTTTATCGATTGTTTTTGGTAAATAATACAAATAATGTTCTTCGTATTATGTTTTTATATTATATTTTTATATCATTTTAGATGACATTTGATGTAGACAATCACATCATTTGAATTAATCAGATTTTTAAATTTAGTTCATTATTTAATAAACTAATAATAAAAAAAAATAGTTAATTCAATGATGATTGTAATATACGAGGAGTCCTTCAATCAGAGTACTAGCTAACTTAATTATTGATTAAGTACTTGTTTGTTATCTTAATTATGTTTTTCTGTTTTTTGAACAAACAATATTTTTTATACTAAGAGAGACGGGATGGGCTTAATCTCACAACAAGCTAGCAATAATGTTATTCAAATTCGTCTTTGCCAAGATCGAACCTTAGACTTCTCACTTATAAGTGACGATGAATAATGTTATACCGTAGTACTAAGTAGCTATCTTAATTATGTTTAAACTTGTCAACGTTAGTTCTTTCTGGTCTACTCCTAAACTTGGGAATGGAAAGAAAATGCTTAACTTCAGGAGGAAAGATTCGTGCATACAACCAACGATACATTCCTTTCTTCCTAGTCACCTGAAGAGCAGTATAGAAGGAGAGGAATGTATCGTTGGAGGACAGCCAAGAATCTCCCGCTCAAAAACTACGCCCAACAGACGAGGCAAGAAAACTAGACCTTTGAGAAAATGTGACAGAAACTTATCCCCAATGACTTATGCCATGAAGAAGCATTACGAAAATGAAAAAAAATTGTAACCATCCAATGGAAAAACTGGGAGGTTATTTCTTCAAGTTTATACATTTTGAGTTGACGAAAGTATAAAGTATAACAGAGCTGTATATGCGGCAAAGTGCGATGACATTGCAACAAGGATTGTAAATCAACTGTCTAACCTGACATAGATCATTGCCCTCAACCATAAACATAAAATTTAAGAAAGAATATACTTTTCCTTTGCTCAATCAATTTTCTCAAGGTTCTCTGAACTTTCGATCTGAGGATTGCCAGTGCTGATCCGAGGATTGCCAGTGCTGATCTGAGGGCTGCCAGTAATGTTCTGAGGATTTCCAGTAATGTTCTGAGGGGTTCCGGTAATGTTCTGAGAGGTTCCGGTAACGTTCTGAGGGGTTCCGGTAATGTTCTGAGGGTTTCCGGTAATGTTCTGAGGGTTTCCGGTAATTTTCTGGGGGTTTCCGGTAATGTTCTGAGAGTTGTCGGTGCTGTCTTGAGGGTTTTGGGTGCTGTTCTGAGAGTTGTCGGTGCTGTCTTGAGGGTTTTGGGTGCTGTTCTGAGGGTTGTCGTTGCTGTCCTGAGGGTTTTGGGTGCTGTTCTGAGAGTTGTCGGTGCTGTCTTGAGGGTTTTGGGTGCTGTTCTGAGGGTTGTCGTTGCTGTCCTGAGGGTTTCTGCTGCTATAATGTGGGCTTCCGGCTTGAGCACAGGCAATGGCTGGGGTAGAATCCATAAGACTGGCAGCTATAGCAGCTTTCAAGTCCTCATCTTCCATTTCTGAAAGCAAATCTGCTTCCTCATTTGATAGAAATTGTGCTGAAGATTGTGGATTCAAATTTGTTCTTTCAGGTTGAGCATTTGTGGAGTTGCAGGATTTAGTTATCCTCTCAGCATCTTCAGGTGAAAGCCACTGCCCATAACCATTAGAAGCTTCGGAGGATGAGATGGGACACTCTTTTGGGAAGCTGCCTCTCACCAGGAAAATGCTCCAACCCGAGCCTTTTAGTGTGTCCAGATAGGCTGATAGGTAAAACTTTGAGAGATGCAATGGAGCCGCATAAAGACTGTCGAAATTATACCACTCTCCACTCACTTTCCGGATACAAAACCAATGATCCTGCAAATGACAGATAAATGCATTTTCAAGCTCAGGATCTATCTGGGCGGGCTCAGCAACCGGAGAATCAAGGGGGATGACCTGCAGATCCCAAACCTCTAAAGCCTTTTGTAGAACCTGCAAAGGAAAACTTCAACGGTTTGCAAATCATAGAAATTCTGGAATCTCTTGCAAAGCAATAATCATGATCAAAAATAATGAAACTGCAACCTGTTGTTACAATGAAAGCTTAAAAGTAAATTAACCAAAAAAGAACCAACTACATACTTGTATATAACCACTAACTTTGTTTGGAAGCATAAAATGATAAGGAAATTCAGTACAAAGCTAAATTACTAATATATCAACTCGGTATGGAATGGAATCACACCCAGCAAAATAAAATGCTACGGAACTAAAAATATTTCCAAATTTAGTAATTACTATTTTGCAAATGAGGAAACCTGAAGGCGAATCCATTTCAACGTAATTAACATATAAAATAAGTCCATATAAAAGAACCTAATTTAATAGCTTGTTTTGCTTTTCCATTGTCATATATCCATATGGTTCATCGCCAATTAGGGTAACCGCAATCTGCTCATGCTGGGGGAAGGTGTACTCTCCATGGGTGTATCAAAACATGTCGAAGCGTAATCATCACGAAGTATATAGGACCAAGTTGCTTACAAGCTTCCACTGGTGAAATAAACCGCCATGAAAACCAAAAAATACCCTTGGAGGAAGCACATTTTCCACCAGAGATTTGTGACTGGGAGACATAGGGGGTTAAGGCCATGACAAAGTAAGTGTAGTAGTATTGGTACTCTTGAATTTTTCATGCAAGTGAAAAATAATAAAACTGAAGAACAAAAGAATAATTCAGTACGAACATTTGCATATGTTCACTCAGCATTAACAGTTTGACTCACTAAGGCATCGTAATGACCTCAACTTCACCATTCATACAATACTACACCCATAAATTGTTCTATCCCTCATTTAAAACATCCCATATGTATACATATCCAATTTGTACAGACACGCATACATAGGGGAATAATCAAGTGAACAGCCCTTCATCCAAGTTAGTCTTACTAAAATACAGATCTGGCATATTGGCACAATACAGCTTCATCATTGCCTCTTAAACCTAGATGGTTAATACCACGAAAAACAAAAAACTTGGATATTTTAAACTGCAAAACACGTGGCCTCGCACACGCACGCACACACATAAAAGTAAACAACTAAACAAAAGTAATTGGTGATCGAGTCCTTTGGTACATGTGGACGCACACACAAACACATGGAAGCCAAGAACTAATCATAGTAATCAATAATCAAGTTGTTTGGTACTGCTAGTTAACCGGTACTATCAGCTCTAGTATGAAACAACCATGTGACAAGCTTTTCTTGGCCAAAAGTTATTCAAGGCATACGTCCAACGGAATGCCATGCCAAGATTAACCTCAATTCAACATGGCTCCAGTTATATTCCAGAAACCCTCCCTCGCACTCAAAGAATAAAATTACCACACCACTCCTCTTTATAACATTACAAAGGTTCAAGAACCACCTAATCAATCTTTTGTAAAGCCAAATCCCAGTGCTTTTCTCCTGGTGGAATAATGGAATTAACTAATACAAATCCCATGACAACAAAACCCAGATGGAAAGCATCATCTCTCTGTAAAATCGAACCGAGCCACATTCATAAACAATTAACAAACAGAGAATCATATATTCAAAATGTTTCAAAAAACAAAAGAGTCTACTTTTTCCCCCTTCCAACTAGCTCAAACGTTAAATTCAGAAACCCAATAACCCAATGCAACAAAGATTACTATACCACTGAATCAAACGATAAAATCACAGACTAACTCTGTCGAAAGTGTTCCAAATTATACAATAAATCACTAAAAAAAAAAAAAAAGCCAATTTAAGTTACAGTGAAAAATGAAATCAGAGAATGTCGATACCTCCAAACAGAAAAATCGAAACTTTGCTTAAAGACGGAAGAAATAATTGAAATTTGAGGATTAGAATTGGAATTGGGACCTAACCTGAATACTGAAATCGCCATCCAAGGAGACGTTGTGAGACTCCTCGGCGAGGAAATCGCCAGCGTGTGAGCCGCCCTCGACGAGCATCATCTGCCGCTCCTTCCGATCGAGATCGGAGGCGAGCGCCGCCAAATCGAATTCGGAGAAGAAGGGACCCTGCAGCACCGTGTTCACGCAATGCACGGCGCAGAGCTTCGACTCTTGTACCTCGTGGTACAACATCCCTCCGTTGCTCGCCCCTTCCATCACAAAAAAAAAATACTACAAAAAAGTCCCCAAATTACAAAAGACGAAACCCTAGATTCTCACAATCTTCGTGTCTGAGAATTGAGCAGAAATTGGATTGAAGATATGCGGGAGAAAGGCATAAAAGGATTGAAGATTGAGGAATTGACAGGAAAAATACAAATTTTGCGTTTTATTTACATTTTAATTATTTTATTTATTTTATAATATGGAATAGGGAGTTTAACGTTTTATATGCGACGAGAGCGTTTTGGTGAGAAACCACGTGCATGACACGTGTAAAGACGCGCGAGGACAAGGTTCGTTTCTTTCTGCTTTTTGTATTTTTAAGTTTTTGCTCAAAGTGGGAAGGAAGATCTAAATCCATTCCGTTTCAAGGACCCAAATTTGTCAATGTATTTTGTACTTTGATTCGAATACGGATCCTTATCTGATTCTCTTTGTGAGGATTTAGAAATTCGTGAATTGTATTCATTCATCGTACATCATACGATTAGAAATTATTTTAAATATTTTTATTTAAAATTAAATACAAATAGTACTTGACAAAAACTAATCGTACGATATACGATGAACGGACACGATTTACGAATCCTCGAGATCTTCACCAAAAGAATCCGGAGAGGATCCTGTTGGCTTTGATTCAGTTAAGGCAAGTAATTAAGGGCTAGTTTGGGGTTGTGTTGTGAAAAGAACGTTGTTTTCAAAAGTAGATGTAAAGTTGCTTCTGCTTTTTGCTATTTTGGACTCATAATTTTAAAAAATGGCACTTTTTTCCATTTCCCAAACACAATTTTAGCCTCAATTTTTTCATAAAACTGCTTTTAAAAAAAAATTCAGCAATAATTTATGTCAGCAACCCCTTTTTTTACCTTTTTAATTATTTATGTTTTGAAAGCCAATAACATGATATAAATGTGGTTATGCTCTGACAAACAACTCTCAATTATTAATATGTAGTCACATAAGAAATTTACATATATTTACGACTGGCAATCACTCATGCACATTTCGACAATTATCCCTACGATTTCTCTTTGTAAAATGGAAAAAATTTGCCGATGCTTTTTGAACTTTTATAACCGTCTTCCCACTCGCCTCTTTAAATTTTAATTTAGTTTTGAGCCCTTTAATCTTTTTGAACTTTCAAAAGAAAGCACTAGGGACTTGGCTATATGGTACACAGGGCTGGTTTCGGTTTGGTAACTCAACCGAAAATGTCAAAGAACCGAAATTTTGTGTGTCAAACAAAGAAAAAAAGGCAAACAAAAGAAGACACATTGCTATTAAATTAAAACAAAAATACACCTTGTATTCAATTCTAAATCTTTCTTGATAGTTATACAACAACAAAATGCATCTCTCTCTCTCTCTCTCTCTCTCTCTCTCTCTCTCTCATACAAGCAGATCATAATGGTTCCTGCCACTGTATAGGAGTC